ATTACATGTTCACTGTCTCAGTCGCAGTGTTCAGACATCTATGCACACGTGGGATCTATTACACATTCACTGTCTCAGTTGCTCTGCTTGTTTTACGAATGTCAGAACTCCCCTGATTGTACCCTTGAAACATCTGCAGGTTACGATACGTTAGTCATGCCTCTGTAACTACGTTAAGATGAGATGCTCTGGCACTGGGTGAGGGTGCCTGGAATGAGAGTATGTGGAGGATGGAGAGGCCGTCCATGGGCCGAGAGCAGTGAGGACCGACGGGGCCCCACGGGAGGGGCGCCACCCCCTGCTCTAGAGGGACGGAAGGCCAGCGCCATCAGAGGCATGGGCGTGGGCCGAGGGCTGCTGCCTTGTTGACAGTGTATAAAGGCCAGTGTTTCTACATGAATTATTTTTCTTCCTAAGCATATCCCAAAGTCTCTGAATGAATGAACACACCACTTTCCCTGTGGAGATTGAGGCCGAGTGTTGCCTGATTCCTGAGCCAAATGTTTCTCCCGCTTTGGTTTTCCTGAGGATGTTTTATGATCACCAGATGGGCTTTTTGGCACCCATGGGCTTTATGAATAACTGAAAAAGCATCTTCAAAATACGTCCCACCTGCAACAGCTTGCCCTGACAAGCTCCCACCAGGAGACGGTCATCTCCTTTGGCCTTTGTAGATGTATTTTATCCTGCTTTAGTTTATTTCGCACACCTGGCACCAGTGAGAAAAATGTGCATTCAGCCTATGGCATTAGGGTCTCTCAGAAGTGCACAAAAGCAGACCATTCCCTGAGTGGCCCTCCCCACGCCCAACCGGAGACGGATGCCAAGCCACTGTGAGAGGCCTCCCAGGAGGTGCTGTGTAGGCTTTGGCCACGGAGCAGCCTGCCTGGGAGGCTTTCTGGATGCTCCCAGGAGGGTGGGGGTGTGCTGCTTGTCCCGGCTGTTCTGGGTCTTCACGGATCCAACAGTCCTGACTTCTGGTTCTCGCCGCGCCGCTGATGAACTGCTAAATTATGTACCTTCTCGGGCTCGCCGGTCCCTCATCTGCAGAGCCGATAAGATCATGCCCACCCCACCTCGTGGAGCATGCGGAGCAGTCAGTGCCGTGTCCTAAGGACCTGCTGCCGCGCTGAGACACAGGAGACACGCGGCCACCAGCCCCGCTCGGGGCGGCGTTTCTGCCGTGTGTGTGCGGCTTCTCCCACCACATGCATCCCACTTCCAGCTGTCATCCCTCGCAGTTGTCACCCGTGCTTGGATACAGCCGACTTCGAGAGACATGTTACTATTTTAGCATGTTAGACTGTATTTCTGAATTGCCCACAGAGATGCTCTTAATAGAAAAATTGAACACTATAAACAGAAACTCTGAAGTTCTCTCTAAACGCTCAGTTTGATTCACGATGCTCTGCCAGGCTCGTCCCATTCTTAAATACCCTCTGTCCTCATAAGTCTGCCCAGCTCCGCGGCGGTCTCCCCACGAGGCTGCCTTCGTCTGTTGGTGACTGTTTTTGGTCTTGTCTCCCCATTAGTTGTCATCCCGTCTGTTCCCTGTTCTATTTGCGGTAGCCTGGGTTGGCAGGAGGACTGGCCGATAACGGCTGAGCAGAGCTTCCCCCCTGTGCCCACCTGCCCGCCTGGGAGCGGCCCCTCCTCGCTCAGCCCTGGCCCCATCCAGCCTCTCACCGCCCTCCGTTGCTTCCTCTCTGGCCCGGCCCCACACAGGCCAAGGGCTTCTCTGCTGCCTGCCGTCCTCGCTGTCCCCGTTTATCATTTATACATCGCTTGTCTTTTCCATTCTTGATTGGATCAGGGGGGCAGAATATTTTAGTCTGTGAAGGCAGAGAGTAGCTTTCTTAGTGTATATTTCTTCTGAGCTTGAAGATTACCGGTTTCTAAGGTTTCCCTGAGGTTTTGAGGTCTTTGTCAGAAAAGGAGGCAAATTTCAGGTCTAATTTTTAACCTTTTCGGCTCAGGGCCAACATCGCAGAGCCCTCCGGTGCCACTTCTCACCAGTTCCCTTGCGTTGGATCCCATTTTTGAGTCAAGCATGCTGAGGTCGCAGGGTGCTGTGGGTTGCTCAGTCTCTGTGTGGTGGGAACGGTGGGTGTATGAAGGCCCCAGCCTGTGTCTTGAGAGCCTGTGGCTTCGGGAGGAACCACCCTGCCTGCCCCACCCTTTCTAGATCAAGTCTTAGAAAGACTCTTTGAGACCCTGCCGACATCTCATGTCCATCCTTTGGATCTGCTGCTGCTGCTGAAAGGTCTCCACCTCTCACCAAGGCTGCATCAGAGCCTCACCGGGAACCACCTGGGGTGGAGAGGGAAGAACAAATAGGCCTTCTGCTCAGGACATTGCCCGCTGCAGCATAGAGCCCCTGGACCCTGCGGAAAGGGAGTGTGCAGTGTGGTTACGGGTGTGGAATGAGGCCCACAAGAACCCCAGGCCTCTGGGAGCCAGCAGCAAGTGCGTCACTTGCTAGTGATGGAGGCTTGCCCAGGGAGGGGTGAGGTGTGCTGTACCCCAGGCTGTGTGTGGGGAGTGAGGGGAAGGCATTTAAGTCCGTTGGGTGCCTGCCTTAACTCAGCAGGGACGGCCTCGGGGGCTCCCTGACAGGCCCTGCTGGACCTGGTGTCTAGGGTCGGAGGCCCAAGAGTGTGGGGTTTGTGTTTTGCAGATGTCTGTGTTCATGATACTGGTACTGTTCACAGCAGGCACTGTGGTGTGGTGGAGGGCTTTATAGATTATCCCCATGGTGCTGGGGGAAGGAGGAGAAGGAGAGAAAAAGCTCATTCAAACCTCACGGCTTTGGATTGACTTTTGCAAATGGGTCTTTGCACAGGGACACATGATGAAATTTCAGTTAATGGAGAATCAAGTTGATCTTTGAATGTGACTTTGGGATGATGGAATTTTCGTTGACCATGGTGTGTAAACTGCCAAATTTGGCCTGTGATTTTTTTCATTTACTTAAGTTGTGCTGTGGGTTTGTGACTTGCTGGGGCCTTTGCAGCTGCTGTGGGGGCACGGTAGTGAAATTGAGAAGAGCCTGGTCCTCAGGGGTTTAGGTCATGTAAGGGATCTCGGGCATGCGTATCGATTGTTGTCATAATCATAATAGCAATTTTTGTTGCACGTTCGCCAGATCCCAGCCTCGTGACAGACGTTCCACGTTCTCTGGCCTGTCTGAGTCCTCCAGGCCCTGCCTTGCAGCTGGTCTTCCTGGACGCAGGGCTGCCTGGGGCGCGGGCGGTGCTGGGGTGCCGAGGAAGTAGCGTTGTCTGCCAGGGTGGCTGGGGACGCATGATGACAAAGTGGGGTGTCAGGATCCACGGAGATGGTGGTCACAGGCACACAAAGCGAGGAGACCAGGGTGGGGTAGGGCCGACAGGGAGCGTGTTTTGGCAGAAGAGCCGCCCAAGTCCAGTCGCACACACAGACCTGATGGAAGCTGGGCTCTGGTCCCTGGAGCCACTGTGTTTCCGTTCTGCGCTTCGCTCAGCATGTCGCCCTCTGGGGTCCCCACCCAGAGCTTCTGGGGCTTACCGCCTACCCCCCTCGGGAGCTGCCGAAGGTCCCTGTTTCCCCACCACGTCCAGGGAGTGTGAGCAGCTCTCCTCGGACTCTCAGTCCCTCTATCCATTCTCCAGGAGCTGAAGGTGCCTCTGGGGAAGGCTGATGCCCGGTGGTCGCAAGCTCTTCCCGGTCTTGTTAGCCCTCCAGTACCTTGGAGAGGTTTGAGAGCGGCTGCGTCCATGCCCTCTAGGGGTTCTCGGTGGCCGGGTTGGTCCCACTGGTCCTGCTGTGATCAGGAGGCGCTCCTGAAGTGCTGTTGGTCCCTGTCGAGTCTGAGCTGCTCGTGGGGTCCGTGCTCCCCTGCTCGCCGGTTGGGTGACGCGTTGGCGCCTGGCTTGCATGTCGCTGAGTTTTGGCGTTGCTCTGCTGCTCTGTCGACTTTCTGCTGGGATTCAAGGGATTCATAAACTGTTCTGCAGCCACTACCTGAGATTGTGTTTTGGGTCTGCTGCTTCTCTGCTTAATGCAAATCATTTAAAAACTAACTTTTCATGGTGATGCTCCCAGCAAACGTTTCTTCACAACTGGTGGTCTGATTTAGAAGTGCCTCTAGTTGATAACTGAGTCAGTGTTTTGGGGGGCACAGAAGATACTTATCTGCACTCCTGTTAGCAGTGTTTATGGTCTGGAAATGAGAGTGGGTGGCATTTTTCTTCAGCCTCGTGTGGCCATCGTGCTGTCCAGCGGGAGGGGCGTGACCTGACCGACATTTCCGGGGACGGACTGCTGTGGGGGATATGGACGGGCACGTGAGGGGCAGCCCAGGAGGCCTCCTCCGCTGTCCCGGAGGGAGGTGGTGGGACCCAGACCCGGGTGGTAGCCTTGAAGGCCGTTTTGGGAAGCACCTTGAGAGCTAACAAGACTTCTGGGTGGGTGGGACGCAGGTGTGAGACCACGGACTTCAGGGTGAGTCCCAGGTGAGGCCGACAGGTGATGTCAGGTACTAGGAGAGAGAGCCGGCGGTGGTGGGCGCTCTCCAGGGGTCCACACAGTCCTGTGACCCGGTCGTGGCTCCTGGGGCTGGGAGAGGAGGCGGCTTGCAGACTGAGTTAGGGGGCAGGGTGAAGCCAGCCTCGGGCATGCAGGCTTCGGGAGCGGCTCATGCAGGCCGGTGACAGCGGGGGGTCCAAGCACAGGCAGCCAGGCCGGGGCGGGCAGTGACGAGGGGCCAGGGCCAGGCCTTGCGCCGGGCGGTGGAAAGGCACCCAGCCCTTCTCAGGGGTGGCCTGTCCTCGGCTTTGGTCTGTAGCGGGTGTGACCGCGTGCACGGGAGATTCACCAGGCGGCTGGCCTTAACACGAAACGGAGCAGCAAGAACACACCGGAGCACTGCTCCAGATGCTAGTGATCTTTGAATAAAATCTACATTGAAAAAAAGAAATCGGATCAAGCTCTGACTCACGATTCTCTCTTCCTCTTTTCAGACGGCATCAGCGTGAGCGGCTTTCCGCTGTGCAGCCCCTTCCGCCAGGTGGTGAGGCCCCGGGTGGAGAGCAAGCCCGTGAACGCGGCTGAGGGCGGCCGGCCCGGGGAGCCGGGCCACGTGAAGGTGAGTCGGCCCCAGCAGCCTGCCAAGGCACTCGGCACTCCCGGCTTTTGCAGGACCTCTCGGTGGCAAAGTTTGTGTGCTTTTCAGAAAGGAGAGGGTGTCTGCCGACAGATGTGTGTCCGTGGGAAGCCAGTGTCTCGGTGTCTCTCCTTCCCCGTGAGGTTCGGGAGCCTGTCACACCGGAGCTCGAGTGCTTTATGTGCTGCTGCTGCTGATGCGGGCGTCCTGAAGCCGCGGGAATTTGCGGGTTGAATGGAGGACTGTCCTGACGGAAGTAGGACATCGCCTGCCTTTTTCTTGTTCACTTGAAAACTGTATCTGTTGAGTCACTGTTCTCAGTTCAGGTGTTTATCGCAGAAATGCTTCTTAATCCTCAGGCAGCTCTTTCCGCTCGTTGGTTTGTGGGCAACAAGGGAGGCAGAGGGAACACAGTAAGGAGCGGGTGTTAGCGTGAAGGGGCCGGGGGCAGAGACGAGCTGTCTCCTCTGAGTGCAGAGAGAATCAGGGCCAAGCGCATCGCCATCGCGCCATCAGCTTCCGGGGTCGCGGTGGACGCCCCTGCCCAGGCAGAGTGTTTGCAGTGCGGGCACCAGCGTCTCCACAGCTGTGACCGGGGTGCAGGCGCAGTGTCAGCCACAGTGACGTTGGGCAGGCCGCATGCAGGCCCAGCCTCTCGGGGCGCTGCTCACACTCTCCACATCTAACAGGGGCAGTGCCTGGCTCAACCTGTCAGAGGAGGCTGGCCGCACCGCCCGTGATTCAGCAGGTCAACAGAGTGTGAGCCACGGGGGCTGGTCCTGATGAAACGAGACGACGCTGGAAGGGCCTCGAGGTCGCCTGCCGTGAAGCTGTGGGGGGTGGGGACCATGCCTATCTGGGTCGACAGTGGGTGCATCCTTGGGTGAAGGGCTCAGGAGCTGGGTTGGGGGACTCTCTCCACTCAGGGCTCTGCAGGGAGGAGGAAGGAGGCTGGTAGGACTGAGGTCCTTTGTCACTTAGACCCTTGCTCAGAAGCTTGAGGGCTGTGCTCGGGCTCTTGTGCCGGCCAAGCGCCCTGGGGTATGGGAAGAAGATCTCAGCGGAGGTCCACAGGCGCAAGAGGCAGGGACCAGGGGTGTTGGAGGGCTTGTCGGCAGGGAGCCGTGGAGGGGAATCTGGGGAGGCGGCTTCCTCCCAGGGTCCCGGGTGTCTCTCCCCTGCCATCTTGTGATGACCGCCGCCGTGTCCCTCCTCCCGGGTCAGGCCCCTCAGCGTCGTTCCATTTGCCTTTGTGGTTGGCTGTGTGCCCCACTCACTTCCGTCTGCCGTTGGTGGTGGCGGGGGCGTGACTGTCCTTTATCCACATCACACACGTGGCTGCTCTTTGAGCTGTTGGCGTGCAGTCGGGCGGGCGTGCTGACTTGCGGAAGCCTTTGTTATGGGAAAGAGCTGCCTGGCTCGTCTGAGGTCTGTGCTCGGCGAGGGGTGCGGTGAGTCCGCACCTGTCCGCGGAGGTCCAGATGTGCCCCCGTGAGGCTCGGCGGGGCAAGGGTGTCCGTGGCTGTTCTGTGCTTCTGGGGCCATCGTGTGGGTCCTGGCACCGCTGAGTCTGTTGCATCATCCTTCTCCCCAGAGCAAGGACAGCTTTAATTGGGAACATGCTAAACCTGTAAAATCCTCGCTGAGGAACGGTGTAGTCATGGAAACAAGTAATTCAGTGACAGCAGCTTCTGGGGAGCCCCTCCGGAAGTGGGGAGAGGGAACATGTGTTTCCTCAGACTCCCACGGAGAGTCGCTCCCCGCTCGGCCACTCCACGCCCGTCCACCAGCCCAGAGGACCCCTCGGGTTGGAAGCAGATGGCGTGGAGGTGGCTGCACGCGAGACGTCAGGTTGTTGTAAGCAGGCTCCTCGGCATGGCCTGTCTGACCCTTGGCTGCTCCTTCTGCAGGGCAGCAGCGGGGTCCAGGGGCACGTCTCGGGGGAGCCAGTCATGCTGGCCACTTTCCGGGCAGCGAGGGTCTGAGCGGAGGACGCTGGCAGTCCCGCCCCTGCCTGCAGGCCGCCCCCTGAAAACCGCTGAGCCCCAGTCCCCTCACCTGCAGCTGGGGAGAAAAGCCTTTCTCACAAGGCTGTTAGTGAAGATCTTGGGCAGCTGTTTTATTAACAGCAGTGCATAGGTTGTGGGGGAGGGACAGAACTGGGGACTGCCTGGACGGGCGAGTCGAGGGGCCTGGTAAAGGCGTCCCTTGGTTACAGAGCAGGTGGAGCCAGGCCGCGTCGCCCGCCCGGACCCTGCCCGTCTGCGTCCTGCCGTCTAGGTGTGCCGGTTTGGCCTCCTCCTCCTGCGCCTGTCTTGTCAAAAGGACAGGTGATGACTGTGTCCACTAATACAGGCCCGTGAGCACAAAACTCAGAGGAACCTTGGAAATTAAGAAGTGAGTCTTAAATCCAACAAGACTGTTCTCAGTAGCTGTTCAGGTTGTCTGTGAACAGAGAGCTTTACTTCTTCCTTTCCAGGCAAGATAACTTATTCCTTTTCCTGCTTTATTGTACTAACCATGTGCGTGATTGTAGAGATGGACCATTCAGTCTTTCATCATTAAGTGTGATGTTAGCTGTAGCTTTTTCATACACACCCTTTATCATATTAAGGAAGTTCCCTACAACCATTGCAATAAACAAGCAAAAAATTATAGTTAATAAACCAACGAGGAAGATAGAAGTTGAATCAGAAATAATATATAATTAGTTCAAAAGAAGGAATAAAGAGAGGGCAAAGGAAGCAAAGGAAAATGGGACAGAAAACAAACAGCACTTAAACTACATCAGTAACAAACTTAACCACATCAGTAAGCAGATGGAAAGTAAGTGGTCTAAATACTCTGATTGTGGGTAGAGAGTGTCAGATTGGATAAAAAACCAGGACCCATCTCCAGTTGTCTCCAAGTAATGAATTTTAAATATAAAGACAAAAATAGGTTGAATCTAAATGGATGGAAAAAGATATACCATTCTTACACCAATTTTGTGGCATTATGGGGAACAGAGAAAAACAAACTTCAGAGCAAAGAGTATTAAGGTCTTTTCATAATGATGAAGGGCTCAATTTTTCAAGTTTAAGCTATAAATATTTATATACCTGATAATAGAGCTTCAAGATACATGAAGCAAAAACTGATAGAATTGCAAGAAGAAATTAATCTAGAGTGTTCAATATCCTTCAATTATTGATAGAGCAAGTAGACAGAAATGAGTAAAGATAGAGAAGATTTGAACTATACTGTCAATCAGTTTGACCCAGTTGACATTTATAGAGCACTCACCAGTTGAGTACAAAATACATGTTCCTTTCAGGTGTACATGGAACAGTTACCAAAGCCCACCATACTGGGGTTGTGATAGTTAGATTTTGTGTGTTAGCTGTGCTCGGCCGTGGCGCCTGGTTGTTTGGTCAAACGTGAGTCTAGATGTGGCTGTAAAGCAGTTTTGGAGATGTGACTAATATTTACAACCAGTTGATTTTAAATAAGAGATTATTCTTAATAGTATGAGTAGGCCTCATCCAACCAGTTGAAATTGTTGTTGTTCAGCCGCCAAGTTGTGTCCGACTCTTTGCGACCCCATGGACTGCAGCATACCAGGCTGCTCTGACTCCCAGAGAAGGAATACTGCCTCAAGGCTTGACATAGCTCCCGAGTGAGTTTCCAGCCTGTCAGCCTGCCCTGCAAATCTCAAACTTGCCAGCCACCTCAATCACATTGGCCAGTTCCTTAAAATAAACCTCTTTGTCCAGATGTACACACAGGAGCTGCCCACACTAGTGCCCTGTTGGTTTGTGGTTCTGTTTCTCCAGAGAGCCCTGACTGACATACAGAGGGCCACAGAACACATCTCAATAAATCTAGAAGGAGTCTCATTTTATAAAGCATATCCTGACAGTAATAAAATTAAATTAGAAACCAGTAACAAAAAGTCTTCGAAAAGCCCTCAGACATTTGGAAACAAAATGACACACAAATAACCTGTGGGTCAAAGTATAGATAAAAAATTAGAAAGTATTTAGGAATGAGTGAAAGTGAAAGCACAGCGTATCATCTGTGAGAGGGTGCTGAAGCAGTGTTTCTGGGGAAATTGACAATACCTAATGCTTGCGGTGGAACAGAAGCCTGGCCTTCAGTCAGTAAACCTCAGCCTCAACCAGAAGAAAACAGAAAATTGTGGAAGTTAAACCTGAAGTTGAAAAGGAAAGAATAAAGACCCACAAAACCCCTGCAGCCCAGCTTGTACTGGGTGATAGCTGGGTGTGCGTCCCCTGTGGTCAGCCACGCCGGCCGCTGCCAGGCGGGCCCGCCCAGTCTGTTGGTGCTGGCTCTTTGATCAGAGGGTCTCTCTCAGTTCCTTGGACCCCTGGTGCTCTCCGGTCCTCTTCCAGGGCCGAGTTCCGATGTCACCCTCTCTGCCAAGCCTGTCAAGGGTGCTGGTGCTCAGTGACTGCCGAGTGCTGTACGACTCTTTGCAACCCTGCCAGGCTCCTCCATCCATGGGGTTTCCCAGGCCAGAATGTTGGAGTGGGTAGCCATTTCCTTCTCCAGTGGATCTTCCCGACCCGGGAATTGAACCAGCATCTCCTGCTTGGCAGGCAGATTCTTTACCACTGAGCCACCTGGGAAGCCCCTGGGTTCCCTGTAACTGTGAGCTCCTTGTGGCCATGCGTCCTTCGGGAGACCTTGCTGGCTCCGGATATTTTAGAAAGCGAGGTCACACATCCCCTCTCCATAGGAGTTCTCTTTTCTCCAAAGAGGCTCTCTCTGTTAGTGAGGCAAAGTAGGGCTGCAGAGTAAGTGTCTTCTCTCTCAGGGTCAAGTTTGAAATTCTTTAGAAAAGCCTGATGACATTCAGGTGATGTCATGTCCTGTTAAATATTTTATTTTACTTTAGCCTTTATAGTAAAGAACAGTAGGATGTTCATGAAGTTCGCTTATACTTTTATGTTTTAATAATTGTATTTATAAAAGGACTG